GTTTCTGTGTATTAGGTAGAGCTGCTTTGACTCCCTGTAGCATGGTTTTTATAGAAAAAGCACCTATAAATTGCTTGGGGTGGAGCAACCCGTTTCACTGCTTTGTGGCTTCATGTATAGGAGGACTCAGAGAGGGGACGATGCTCCTGCCTGGCCTCTGGACATTGCCAAGGAGGAAGCTCTCTCCCTGCACTCACCCTCTTGCCAGTGACCTCACTTTCTCTCAGTATGGCACTTGTGCCCTTCCAGCTATTTCCATGGTGCTGAAACCCAGAGGGGGTGGGTCTGCGTGAGTCCTAAGTCCATTGCTGGCCCTTTAAGAGGAGTCTTGAGAATCCCACAGTTTCTTCTGCTGTCCCACCTTCTCTGATTTTTACAGCCAGAAGTATGGGGACTTATCTTCCTTGCACTGGAATCCTGAGGGCTAGGTGGTGTGGTCTTGAATTGGGATCACTTGCTTCCAAGGTATCCCTCCTGATTTTTATCCACCACACATGAATATGTGGCTGCCCGTTTCACCACCCTTCCTACCCATCTGGATGAATGTGGATTCTTTAAATCTTTGGTTGTGGGACTTCCATACAGCTCAATTTTTCTGACAAGCCTGGGTGATATTTGTTTTGTAGTTCAGTTGTAATTTTTCTGTAGTTGTGGGTGGAAGCGAAGTGTGTTTACCTATGCCTCCATCTTGACTGGAATCTCAATTCATCATCTTTTTCAAACTGGCCTTCAGCCAATTTCAGTTACCTAGTTTGAAATTGTCCTCAATGCTGCCCTGGCTGGTGTGGCTCATTTGGTTGGAGCATCATCTCATAAACAGAAGTGTTGCAGGTTTGATTCTTGCTCAGGACACATAGCTGGGTTGTGGGTTCAGTCACTGGTTGGGGCCCTTTAACAGTAAATTTCTTTGAGGCCATGGCTTAATAGTTCCAAAGTAATTACTTTGATTATGGCAGGATTTGGATTTGGGCTTTTAATTGTTTTGTTAGTGTTCAGGGTCACTTGTGTAGTAGTATTTGCCTGTGAAAACTCAAACTAAAGAGGCAACAAACTCTAAAATCACCCTTCAAAAGCTTTTCTACAATAACAATGAAAAGATACTGTAACTGTCCCTAAGAAGAAATGTATGCAGCCTATAAACAACATAAGAAATGTGAGAAAATATGGAAACATCCATACACTTGAATGGAAAACTTATGAAAAAAGTTTCTAATTCTCTCCTGGTTAATTCATAGTTCACCACACTTCCAATTAAAATCCTAAAGAATCTGACACAACTAGAATTTAGAAACTGACAAAAATTTTCCTGGCTCTATTTCCCCTGGAAAATTAACAGGTGAGATTACTATAAAATTTTTAGAAAAGAAAAATAATTGGGATGAGAAAGGGATACTTTCTCTGTCAGACATTAAATGTATTATAAAGCTAAAGAAGTAAAACAAAGTTGTACTAACAAGAATTAATGGACAAATCAATGGGAAAAAATTCCCTGAAACCATTCCAAGTAACATGAAGTTCATGTATAAGAAAGAAAGCTCACAAACCAACAGGAAGAGGGGGTTACACAGCAAATGAGACTGGAAAAACTGGCTGATCAGTTTAGATCTACACTTTACACTGTAGCATAAAATAAGTTCCAGGTACATTAAAGCATTACATGTAAAAATAACGTTACTTTATTTACTTATTTATTTATTTATCTATGTATTTATTTGTTTACCTTCACTTGAGGACATGCTTATTGATTTTAGAGAGAGGGGAAGGGAGAGAGAAAAAGAAGGAGAGAAATATCAATGTGAGAGGTTGCCTTTCGTAGGCACCCCAACTGGGGACCTAACCCTCAACCCAGGCATGTGCACTGACCAGGAATCAAACCCACAACCCTTGGGTTTGTGGGGTGACACCCAACCCACTGAGCCATACCAGCCAGGGCTAAAAATAATGTCATTTTAAAAAATGTAAAAAGTAGATGGATAACTACATTTGGGTGAAGAGCTTTACAAGAATAAAAACAATAATGAGAGAAGTCACATGAGAAAAGAGTGATAGACTTGAATAAATCAGAATTACAAACTTCTGCATATCAAAAATGCTATAAAAGGTTAAAGAGCAAACAATGAAACTTGGAAAAATTATTTGCAACAAATAGTTCAGGCAAAAGGTTACTGTCCTTATTTTATAAAGGATGCAAATGTAAATAAATACAAAAATAAAAACAAATTTTAAAATAATCAGTAAGCCCACAAATAACTTCATTCTTAATGTATAACTATACCTCATACACAGAGTTTACTTTCACATACACATGTTGTGACACAGCATTTAGTAGAACAATCAGGATATAACACTGCATATGCAGAGTAGTCCAAATGATGTCAAATTAAGTTATACACATGTATTTTCAAAAGTGGAAGTACAATCACCTAAATGTTTTAAATGACTTCTATTTGGAATTGAACTATAGGTGATTTGTTTGTTTGTTTGTTTGTCTATAAATATATTTTATTGATTATGCTGTTACAGTTGTCCCAATTTTTTTCCCTTTGACCCCTCTACCCTGAACCCCACTTCCCTCCAGCAATCCCCCCACCCAGTTCATCTCCATGGGTCATGCGTGTAAGTTCTTTGGCTTCTCCCTTTCTTATATTATTCTTAACACCCACCTGTCTATTTTGTTCCTACCAATTATGTTTCTTAATCCCTGCACCATTTCCCCCTTACTCCCCCATCCACCTCCCAGCTGATAACCTTCCAAATGACCCCCATACCTACGATTCTGTTCCTGTTCTTGTTTGCTTAGTTTGTTTTTGTTTCTATTTTTTAGATTCATATTGTTGATAGTTGTGACTTTGTTGTAATTTTACTGTCCATACTTTTGACCTTCTTTTTCTTAGATAAGTCCCTTTAACATGTCATATAATAAGGGCTTGGTGATGATGAACTCCTTCAGCTTTACCTTGTCTGGAAGCACTTTATCTGCCCTTCCATTCTAAGCAATAGCTTTGCTGGATAGAGTAACCTTGGATGGAGGTCCTTGCTTTTCATGACTTTGAATACTTCTTTTTAGCCCCTTCTTGTCTATAAGGTTTTCTTTGAGAAATCAGTTGATAGTCTTATGGGAACTCCTTTGTAAGTAACTGTCTCCTTTTCTCTTGCTGCTTGTAAGATTCTCTTTATCTTTAACTCTTGGTTTTTTAATTATGATATGTCTTTGTGTTGTCCTCTTTGGATCCAACTTGATTGGGACTCTCTCATGTCAACTTCCTTTTTCTAAATTAGGGTAGTTTTCTTTCATTATTTCTCAAACAGATTTCCAATTTCTTGCTCCTTCTCTTCTCCTTATGGCACCCCTATTATGTGAATATTGGACCCCTTGAAATTTTCCCAGAGGCTGCTTATACTACTCTCAATTTTTAACTCATTTTTCTTCTTGTTTTGATTGATTATTATTTGCTTCTTTATGTTTCAAATCATTGATTTGATTCTCAGCTTCATCCACTCTATTGTTGATTCTCTGTAAATTGTTCTTTGTTTCAATTAGTGTGTATCCTCCATTTCTGACTGGATCTTTTTTATGCTGTTGAGGTCCTCACTAAGTTCCTTGAGCATCCTCACAACCAGTGTTTTGAACTCTGCATCTGATAGATTGCTTATCTCTATTTCATTAGCTCTTTTTCTGAGTTTTGATGTGTTCTTTCATTTGGCCCATGTTTCTTTGTCTCCTTGTTTTGGCAGCCTCCCTGTGTTTGTTTCTATGTGATAGTAGATCTGCTCTGACTCCATGAATTGGTAGTGTGGTCTAATGTAGGTGTGCTGTAGGGTCCAGTGGCACAGCCTCCCCTCTCACCCAAGCTGGATATTAGAGGTTCACCCTTCATGTGAGCTGAGTACACTCTTTTCTTGTAGTTGAGCCTTGGTTGTTATTGACAGATGAATGGGAGTGATTTACCCAGGCCAGTCAGCAGCAAGGATTGGCTGTGACCACTTACCACCAACCTCCACCCTCTGGGGAGGATCAGCTGTGCAGTGGCAGGGTGGTGGTGCTTCAAAGTGGTCTGAGCAATCCACTGAGTGCACTGGCCCTGGGGTTTCCCTGGTGGTGCAAGTCAAGGTCAGACCCCACCTGTGATTTGCCACAGGTCTCCCTTTCTGAACTATAAAGCAATCTGAGATGGCTGCTACTTGGGCTGGTCTTGGAGATTCCCAGGCAAAGCCAAGCTGTGAAATTCATCTAGCTGCTGCTATTGCCCTGCCTGGAGCTCACTAAAGCCAGCTGTTGTTTGTTTGACAAGATTTAGGAAGTTGTAAAGCATGAGCCAAGACCAGCCATTTATATGGAAAAGCAGCTGGGTTTGACCTTTAAGTTGGGTGGGGTAGAGTCTCTGGAGCATCTCCAAGGTGGGTCAAACAGTGTTAGCCAGATTTGACAGAATCTCAAACATGGCACCAGCCTGCTAGCTTCATGGCTCTGCAGGAGGAAGGCTCAGAAAAGGGCCAGGGGCCTCTGCTCACCTGATGCCAGGTACTTCACCCTCTCCTCGTATGCCACTGGTGCCCTTCAAGCTGCCCCCAACCCCAGCTGGAGCTCAGAGGGAGGGAGTCTAAGTAGGTGAGTCCATGTGTGCATTCTTTAAGAGGAACTGTTTGGGGTTCTAGAACTTTCTTCCACCAACTCAATCCCTACTGCTTTTTGCAGCCAGAAGTCATAGAGACTTATCTTCCTGGCACTGGCACTCTGGGCTGGGGATCCTCACTCCCGAGATCTCCCTCCCGAATTTTTATCCACCACACGTGGGTGAGAGACAAGCCCGTTTTGTATCTGCACCCCTGCTACCAGTCTGGGTGGATGTGGTTTCTTTAATTCTGTTGTTGTCAAACTTCCATTCAACTCAATTTTGGGTGGTTCTGAGTGATGGTTGTTTTATAATTTAGTTGTAATTTTGATGTGGTTGTACAAAGAGGCGAGCCATGTCTGTGTATGACACCATCTTGACTGGAAGCCCTATTTATTTATTTTGTTCTTTGCCAAATGTTTCAAATTTTCTATAGTAAATATGTATTATTTATATATTCCATTTTTTAAAATTAGTTAACATTATTTCTCAGGTTGGTCCCCCACCAGGTGAATTCTAGAAATGGCTATCCCCTTTTTGGCAAAGGGGGTTTGAAAAGAGGATTCTGGGAGTATCTCCCCCAGTGGCTGCTGTGCTCCCTGGAAAACTTCCATCCTGTCTACCTGGGGCCTCCGACATGTTGCCCTGGGTCTCTCGGTTTCACAGAGGAGCTCCAGCTGCAGGCCAGGCCTTCTCTGTCACAACCTCCCTCCCAAAGGGAATGCTAAGCAGTGGCTCCAGCCCTCCGGACACAGAACAAATGCAATCAAGCATTCCCATCTGAATGGGGGTCCCCACCAACTCAAGGTCTGGGAGTGACAACAAGCTAACAAGAGAGGAGAGGTCTCCTGGTCCTGAGGGCCAACGCCCTGCTCCAAAGTGCCATCTGTTCCTCCTTCCGCGGCGGAAGGATTTCTTCTGCAAATGTGGGTTTCCTTACACGCATCTTCCACCAGGTTGCAACTCGAGGGCAGGATGCAGTTTAGTCAGCTGGGACCTCTGTGATAGATATGGGCTGTGCAAATTATCAGGCAAAGGGAGCTCTGCAACATGCCCCAGCTGATCAGAGCAGCAACTGTCCTCAGTCCCCTTGGTCCCTCTCAGCAGGGGGTTGAATAAGGATGCCCCAGAAGACTATGTTCAAGCCCTAACCCCCAGAATCTGCAAATGTGACTTTATTTGGAAAAAGTCTTTGCAGGTATAATTAAGTGAAGGACCTCAAGATAAGATCATCCTGGGTTTCAGGTGGGCCCTAAGTCCACCGACAGATGTCCTTGTGAGAGAAAGGCAGAAGAGGATTTGAGGAGGCAGCCAAGGACACACAGAGGAAAGACGGCCAGGTGGAGACAGGGGCAGAGGCCGAGTGAAGCCTCTACACACCACGCATGCCCGGGCTGCGGGCAGTAGCAGGCACAGTCCAGGGGAAAGGCAGGGAATGGATTCTCCCTCCGAGCCTGCAGAGGGCACTCACCAACCCTGCCAAAACTTTGAGTTTGAACCTCTGGCCCCCTGAAAAAGAATAAATTTCTGTTGTTTTAAGACCCCAAGTTTGTGGTAATTTGTTACAAGACAGGAAACTAATGTACACTTTTTCACAAACAGCCGTTCAGCAGTGGGGTGTCTAGGTCCTGGCCCCCGACTGGCTCACGGTCGGGCAGCCGCCCTCTGCGTCAGGAGCCCATGGGCGCACCCTCCGTGCGGGGGCAGCTCCCAGGGGCACGCCGCCCTCGCTGCCCACGGATTGTCCAGCAGGAGGGGTGCGTGTTCCTTTGCAAGTGTTTCCTTCGTGGCCCTAAAAAAATAAACAAATCAAATGAAATAAAAGAGACACTAATTAATCTTGAAGTTAAAAATGTAAAGTCAATACCAAAGAAACTGAAGTCGAGGTTGATTCCTAAAGCATTACTCACAGCTTCTTCGGCCCTCCGTGACTTCCATTCTCAGTCAGCTCCGACCTCCAAGCCCGGTTTAGGGCCAGGTTTCCACCCGCAGAGATTGTCCACGAGGTGAAACGGAGTCGGGCTCTTCGGACGGACCTGAAACCCCAGAGAATGTGGCCCGATGGCAGGATCTCAGGCGCCAGGCCCAAGCGGAGAGGAGTGGCTGCCCTGGCTGTTGATAAGAAAGATCGCTCCCCGCCCCCATTCCCCCGGCCCCCCTGCAGGGAACCAGAAAATGAGACTTCTAAGGTCTTGTCTTATCAAAACAAGAGCCTACTGACAGGCAGGCCAGCCTGTCCGGCGATTTCTGCCGCACTGCAATGGTAACACAGGTCTGTGTATGACTTAAAGTACCAGAGGCCCCATAACACCCCATGCCTTGGAGATCGTCACTGTTTTGAATAAGCTCTTCTGGTGTCCTTCTGTAGAAAATAGCATAGCAGCATTTATCATCACCATCGTCACTTTCAGAGATGAGAACATTCATATATGCTGTTCCACCATTCGCTTTTTCTTCCTTTTTGTTTATGTTCTTGTGTTATCTCCACAATAAACACTGTCTTAAGGGAATTTTTAGCCAAAGAGCCAGGGAGACTCCCTTCTCCCTTCCAAGCCCTAAATAGTTACTTTTGTTAACTTAGTAAGAGTCTTCAAATTCTAAGAGACAGTCAATACTCAGGAGGAATGTTCAGCCACGTCCTGTATCTTATGCAAAGTGACATTAAGAAAATTGCATTTTACCAACACTGGCTTCTCAGCCGTCAGCAGATGACTTCTGTCCTTGAAACTTGCACACACTGGAGTGGAACTTGCAGCCCCCTCCCACCTCATCTTAGGCGGGCAGGGAGGAGGGAGGGGACCAGGAGGTGGACCCAAATCAGCTTGTCCACAGCTACCCACCTCTTTTAAACCCAAGGCTGTTGACAGTTACGACATCCAGGTTCAGTGCCCTTTCCTCACTGAGGGCGCTACAAGTTAGGTAAAATTCTCATAACTCAATGGAAGACACAAAGACTAGAGAACACCCTGTGCCGTTAGTCTAATTCCTTGATGTAATTTATACAAATCATCTTACAGAACAAAATCGGCCTAAGCCTTGCTGTGCCATGTTCTCCGAATCACGGTTTTACCAATTCCACATGTACACGGACAAGGGTAGCACCACCACCTGGCAAAGGGCCAAGAGACCCAGCTCTGCACCTTTAAGAGCACCCATGTGTCCCCTGACGTCAGGACTCACAGATCTACGTCTCTACCTTGGCTGCCTAGCATTCCAACATATTTATTCATCCAAAGTCCACTGCTTGTCGTTTGGATTTCCCCCAGATTTTGTAGTAGTCAGTCAGTGCCTCAGAGGGCACCTTTATAAATGTATTTTTGTGTGTATGTGAAAACATTTTTGAAAGGTGTATTCTCAGAAATAGAGTGGCTGGGTTGCAGGGGAGAAACATTTAATTTCTCTTCCAAAAGTGTGCACCGCTATTACCTCCAGCTCTCGTCTGTGGGTGGGTGTCACGGGGGCCTACTGAGCCTGTTCCTTGTTGAGGATGGAATGAGCCACTCTTTTCTTAATTTGCCTTTCTTTGTTATTCTTGAAGATAAGCATTTTCTCAAATGCTTCTTGGCCTCTGAGTTTGTTCTCGAGCAGCTGGGTTTTTTTTTTGTTTGTTTGTTTTAAATATTCAACTTACCAAGTATATTGTTTCCTCCAGGAAGTGCTCATTGTGCTCAAGAGAATACACGGAAGTTGTTGCTTCCTATACCACACAGGAGCGCCTCACGCCCTATGGAGAAAGTGGTTGTTCGGTTCAGCCTCCGCCAGCTGTAAAGCACTCAGAGTTCAATAGCAGGATTCCTCAGAGGAAACGCCTTCTCCGGGTTCCCAGGGCTTGGATCACAGACAGGGCTTCAGAGGTGAATGTATAGACTCCATGAATGGGAAAAAAGTCATTTCACACTGCAAATACAAATTTTACACAAAGAAAAGCATCATCTGTTGTTTAGCTCAACTAAGTATTGAACCAAATTAAATGTTAAAAATCTCGATATATGGAGGCCGGCCTTGATGGATTGACTCCGTGCACATCCATCTCAATCTCCTCCCAGGGAAGCAGCCCTTCCTCTATGGCAGGGGCTGGAATGGTGAAAAGCTCGCTTCCCAGACTCCTTTGCAGCTAGAGCTTCAGATGTGAATTTGGATCTGACAGTTAGATGTCCTGGCCCAAGATGTGGGAGGAGCAAGTGAGATGGGGTTACCTTCCTGTTGATCCAGCTGCTGCTGGGACAAAGTCAAGAGAAGTTATGTATTTTTCAGCATTGTTCCAGCATGTGGGCACCCCTTCATGGAGCAAGGATGGCCCCTGCTGTCTGGTGGTAGTGTTCCAGAACATTCTTTGAAGCCCCACTTGGAACCCACTCCTCCAGCCCTTCCAATGACTTTGTAAACCCTTGATTCCTTTTCTACTAAAGTTAGCTAATGAAGTAAGTGTCCATTTCCTCCAGCTGAACCTGACTGCTGCTTACAAATATTTATCTCGACTGAGCCATTTGAGATACAAGAAAGGAAAGTCTAGACAAAGGGTAATGATGCCATGAATCATGTTTCCTAATAACACTTTAATCAGATGCCTCTTCCTGGTAGAAAACTCGGAAAGTACAAAAAAAAAGGCAGAAAGAAAGAAATGAAATCATCTGTTATTACACAAGAGTCAAATATTGATGGGGAAAAAAAGTCAGTCCCCCTGAGATGTGGGTGCTAATTGGCCAGCTGCTGCTGCTCATTTGAAGGTAGAATCACCAGCCCAGCCGGGGAATGCCTGGGCTGGCTTTGGCACAAACACTTAACACCTACCTAACACGAGACTGCTAGGCCTCTTCTTTCCACCTTTTGTCCAAGGCCAAAGTTGCCTTCCATAGGCCTCATTCATCAATAATAGACAAATTATTATTGTTGTTGTTTATGGTTTTGGTGTCATAGTTAAGAAACTATTGCCTAATCCAAGGTCATGAACATCTCCTCCTATGTTTTCTTCTAACAGTTTTATAGTTTCAGTTCTTAGAGTTACGTCTTTGATTTGTTTTGAGTTAATTCTTGCACATGGTACAAGGTGAGGCTATAGCTTCACTATTTTACCCGTGAATACCAGTTGTGGCAACACCATTTTTTAGAAAGGCTGTTTTTCCCCCATTGAACAGTCTTGGCACCCCTATCAAAAATCAATTGCCATAGATAAATGGGTTTATTTCCTAATTCTCAATTTTATTTTACCAATCCATATCTCTATTCTATGCCGGTTCCACACTGTTTTGATTACTGTAGCTTTGCAGTGAGCTTTGACATTGGGAAATGTCGGTCCTCCAACTTTGTTTTTCTTTTCAAGATGGTTTTACCTATTCCAGGTCACTTGCAGTCCCTTGTAAGTATTAGGACCAGCTTTTCTAGTTTTGAAAAAAAAGAAGTTGGAATTTGTATAGGGATTGCACTGAATCTGTGAATCAGTTTGAAAAGTGTGGCCATCTTAACAATATTAAGCCTTCTGATACATGGACGTGGAATGTCTGCACACTCATGTAGGTCTTCTTTAATTCCTTTCAACAGTGGTTTGTAGTTTTCAGAGCCTAGTTTTTATACTTTAAGTTTATTCCTAAGTATTTTATTTTTTGATACTATTATAAATAAAATTGTTTTTAAATTTCATTTTCAGATTGTTCACTGTTAGTGTAGACAAATACAATTGACTTTTGTAGATTAATTTTGTATCCTGAAACCTTGCTGAACTCACTCATAAGCTCTAATAGATTGCTTTCCTTAGGACTTTTTATGTACATCACCATGTCCCCTATGAACAATCTGGGTGCCTTTTATTTCTTGTTAACAAAGTTTATCAGGTCGAGGAAGCTCTCTTCCAATCTTTGTTGGTTGAGTATTTTCATCATAAACAACTTGGACTTTGTCAAATGTTTCTTCTGTGCCTATTGAGAGGATCATGTGGCTTTTGTCTTTCATTTTATGAAGATGATATATGACTGTGATGCTCACAAACTCTTGATCCGTGCGTGCCTGAGAAAACCAGAATCATATTTAAATGCAGGCCGCTGATCCCGGCAGGTGGAGACCGTACACTATGGGACCAGTGATTATTACTGAGAATCTTTGATGCTACCCAGTTAAATCTCTCGAGCTCCAATGCAGCAAGTCCCTCTGATTCATCCCAAAGGAGATCCCCTCTCTGCTTCAAAACCTCTAGCAACAGGGGACTCACCTCCTACGACGGAGATGTGTGTCAGGTCCAGAAGTGACCTTGAAGGGTTCCAAACAATCCTTTGACTAGAAATTGCACCTTCTCCTCCAGATGAAGTCAGAGCTTTCTCATCTGCATAAGACAAACCCAACTCAAGCCACCTTAAGGGGGAAGACGTCTGTTAGAAAGCGATTGGGGTTGTCAAAAAATTGAAGGGAGATCCACAGGATCAGGGCAGCTCAGAAATCCCAAGAATTGGAACTAGGAGGCCAGACCCTCTTGGGACCTCAGCCCACCTCCCCACTGCTCTGGCTTCCCCTCGTGGCAGAGGACATGGCCACCACCAGCTTGGGGATAACTTCCTTGTTGGAAAGTTAGAAAAATCCCAGGGAAGGACTCGAATTGGTCATGTGACGTCTCTGCGTCAATTGTGGCAATCAGGGGGAATGAGCCACTGTCAGTGGCCCTGCCTGGGTTACAGGGCCCTCAACCATTGCCAAGGACAGGATGGAGTGTGAGAGGAGCCATTCCCATAGGCGAGATCAAGTATTAGCAGGATGGCAAGAGGGGCTGATACCTGTTTTACTTCATTGCCAATCTCTCTTAGGGTTTTGGTATCGAAGACGGATGTTTCAAGTACAGATGTGTTATTGAGGGACATCACAAGTTAATTTATCAAAGTACAGAGATAACACAGAGAAGCTGTAAAGGGCTAGAACCCAGGACAGGACATGTGGTAGTCTGCTCGGGCTACCATAATGAAGTACCAACAACTGGATAGTTTTAACACCAGAAATGTACTTTCTCACAATTCTGGAGACCAGAAGTTCAAAGTGAAGATGTTTAGTTTCTTCTGAGGCCTCTCTCTGGCTTTCAGACTGCCACCTTCTCACTGTGTCCTCACATGGTCTTTCCTCTGTGCGAGCACCTACCCCTGGTGTCTCTCTGGATCCTGATCTCTTCTCTTCATAAAACACTAGCCCGAGTGGATTAGGGCCACACTAAATGGTCTTGTTTTTGCTTAATGATCTCTTTAAAGGCCTCATATCCAGTCACATTCTGAGGTGCTGGGGGTTAGGCCTTCAACACGTGAATTTGGAGGGGGCACAATCCAGTCCATAAAAGGAAGTTGGGAGAGGATACAGGACAGGCAATTGATTGTGGGATTACCTCTCTTTGGGCGCCAGAAAGAGAACGTTGTGTTTCAGTTCACAGGTTAAGAGCCAAGTAGCTCAGGGCAACTGAGATACTATATGCAGCTGAAGGGGCTCCTGAATGTCAGTTGAATACATCTCCTGGCCTAGCCCCTCATTTTACAGATGAGAAATCAGGGGTGCAGAGAAGAGACATTGCCCAAGGCCACATCGCCCAAGGCCACACAAGCAAACAGCCTATACAAAGAGGCCAAAAAGCAGAGGCCAGCGTGAAGGGGGCAGAGACAGCTAGCTGTCACTAAAAAGGCCTTTCTGTGCCCTGGGAAGTGTCTCACCAGGCTGGGCCTCCAGTCCCCGCCCCTCTGTGTGTCTGTGCCCACCTGCAGCCACCAGTCACAGGAGGAGACAGATGGCACACTCATTCTGAGCCACATGTACAGTTAGTAATGAAACCATTTACAAGGGTGAGGGCAGAGT